CCCCAAAGCTGCACAGGCCCCCCCAAGGCCGCACAGGCCCCCAAAGCTGCACAGGCCCCCCAGGCCCAGCCATCCCACCCTCTCTGCCTTCCTGACTCCCAGCACAGAACTGCCTCTGCGCTGTGCCTGCGCAGGTGAACACACAGGTGTGTGTCTGTGCCCACAGGCTTTTGGGGGTTGAGCTTCTCTTAATTAGAAATCTCTCCAGAATGTGCCATCACACTGAGATTGCTGGCTACATAGAACCCCTGAGGGCTCCTTGGTCACGGTGCAGCTGGACAGCAAGGGACAAGCATGTCTATCATCACCCTGCTTGCAAAGCTTGGGAAACAGAACGCCACACCAAACCACACCACTTCACACCTCCATGCAGGTCAGCAGCAGTCACTTGAGCTCTGGGGCTCCACCTAATTCTTCTGCCCAAAGCACAGCCCTCTCAGTTATTGTTCCAATAAAGGACTGAAAATGTAGTAAAAACCCGTGTCTAGATCATGACTGCTGCGTATTATTGCCTCCTGCATCTTCTGTTTGCTGTGAAACCCACACACTGATAAGAATGACTTAACACTGAATGCTAGAGAAAAGGTGCTCGGGAGCCTCTGCTGACACAGGAGTAATGGACTCAGCATTGGTGCTGAATTCCCAGCCACATTTTTTTGTTCTCACTTCTAGCCTTAAGGGTCAGAATGAGCAGTCACCAAATCCTTGTATTTCACAATGGCTTTATTACCAGTAGATATCCTCTGGTAATAACACAGTAGCACAGAGAATGCATAAACCAAAAGGGTAGGTCCTCAACTGAGAGAAACTGCTGAAGCTAAACTGGTTAGAGATGCTGAAGAAATTAACTCAGATACTATGTTACCTGGACAAAAACAGAATAGGTTCCACAGAGTGTCCGTTTCAGTTCAGCAGCCACTTTCAGCAAACAGATGATCAACTGCAGTCCACTAAGAGCTATAAGAATAGAGAGTAAAATGATGTTCCACTCCACGATGTTAGCAGGCTCAGTGCAGCGAGACCAAGCAGGATAATCTGTGAGGTACCTATTAGAGAATCAACAGTGTGAAGTAAGTGAAATGTAGTGACTGCAATTCAATTTAACAACACAAATTTTTTACCTATAATATATAGGAAAAGCATATTGGGATTTATATGCTTCAAGTTTAGGAGCCAGACTCTAGTCTTTCATTATACCAACATAACTCCTGCATAGATTTGTCAAAATCAGCTAAGTGAAAAGATTTATTTTCCTCAAATGCATTTGCTTAATTAGTTTCCCTGTTAGACACCCAAGTGTTAGAAAGAAACCACCATATTTTCAAAATGACAGAAGCCAAGTTTAAAACTGGAATTTTCCTTTTATTGATTTAGTTTCAGCTGTAGGTAAAGTCCAGCTGACATCAGCACCATGCAGAACAGGAAAACATCAGTGCCATCATTCTAACCAGTGCATGCAGCCGAAATGACTATTTGTTAGACACACCTGCTCAGTGGCAACTGCTTTTGCCATAAACATTCATAACCAAATTGCTTTGAGCCAAATCTGGAGTGCATTTCTCAGCATCTGGCCCTTTCTGTTGAATTCAAATTGTATTTCCAAATGGGATGGTAATACTGGTGATATGAAGCAGAGATTGCAGATGCTCTTCAGAGTTTTGAAATAAAGCTGACAAGTCAGAGAGGGCCACAGTTTAGGAACCACTCCTGCTGGATGCTGAAGGAACTTACTTGTGATCCTCTGAAAAGTGTAATTCTCAGTGCATTCAAATGCAGCTGGAAGAGCTTGGTATGATATGACTTAAATATTCAAGTCTTACCAAGCATTGATCTTTCAAAGGGAGGACAAAATCTTGTGAAAGCAGCCTCAGGGTACAGATCTGTCCCGTGCCTCTGGGAGGCTGGGACAGGCAACACTTTGCCTCACTCAGGTGTCTTAGGAGATACAGCAGCTGTATGCAAAATCACCAGTGATCAAACCAGACTTCATGGAGCTTTAGGAGTTAAAAAGAAACCTACTCAGTTATTAAGGACAAAAATGCCATCTACAATCTTTAAACCAAGAACTTGAGCAATTTGAGAGAAAACCTTGAGAAAGTAGCCCTGTATATTCACTCTAATCTATATTCTTTACTACACGTGCACTGTGGCCACCACGAGATAAAGGACACTTATCTAGATGGGCCTCCAGGTCTGACTGACCAGTACAAAGGTTCTTACAGTTAATCTTTCCTACAAGGAGGCAAATACCTTTTCCCTGAGGATTCTGGTGCTCATTCAAGAAGGTGAAAAACCTCACTCACCAACACAGGCCTTGTGTTCAAAAGACTGCTATTTTGTGTAAAACTGTGAGACCCTGTGTTGGACTGTTGTTTTGATGAACAGCTTCTTCCAGAAGAGCTATGTTGATGTTTCTTACCCTCCAGCAGTGTCTTTGAAGATATAATCCCATCCACTTGATGAATTGCAGAAGGGGCCTTGGATCAACCCCAAGGTAAAAATGATGCAGCTGTATCCAGAGAAAGCAACTCCAAGCAAGGCTAGCACAATTGAAATAAAACTCTGAAGTAAAGAGAGAAAAATATTATTGTGTGGGGATGGTGTCCACAGCAAATACAGTCATTCAGCTGGGCCAGCTACTTCCTGGGGGTTGAATTTCACATTTGATTGTCCCAATCTTCAAAAATCAGGAAGAAAAATACCAGGTACAGAGCAGTAAGCACACTCATTCAATACAAAGATTAAGACGGAGTTTAGACAGTTTCACAACTCTCAGTTAAATATTGTCTGGGGATTTATTTATTTTTTAACTTGTACTTTTTGCAAAACTGTTTCCCAAAATGCTAGAGGAACACAACATGTTTGCATCCCAGACAGTGTCTATTGAGTTGTTACTGGAAAAAAGGACTTCCAAACAATACAAAAGCAAGAGGATGAAGCTATGTAGCTGGGGCACCTCATTGACACTCTCAGGCCTTCTAACGTCTTATTTTATTTTACACAGATTTTTTGGTAGGGTTTGTTGGTTTTGTTTGGGGTTTTTTGCCTTTTTTTTTTTTATCCTGCTTCAGAAGGAGCTCCATTTTCTGTGACCTCTGAAGCTGATTTAGAATCCTTCTCTGTGAAAGGAAGCAGAAGCAGCACTGGAGAAAGCAGAAGGATGTGCTGGAAGGCACAGGGGGCAGGAAGGCTCAGCACAAATGCTAAAGAGAGGCACAAAAATAAAACACACTTACCCTGTAGGTTTTGTTACAGCTCTCACTCTGGCAACACCGGTAGAACATGCTGCACTCCAGTGATATCAGAATTACTGCCAACAGAAGGATCTATAAGGGGACATGATAAGGTCAGTGAAATGGATGCAGATATTAAGCTGAAGTCCCCTTCCCCTTTGGGAAGGAGGGACTGCAGCTGTTGTGCTCTGTTAAGATTTTACAGCTGCTCAATAGAAAGCACAATTACACACAATTAGCATGGAACTGGACTGTTTTTATTAGGCTGTCACTGTACTTGTTCCCTTGTACTTGAAGGACAAGAGTACAGGTGTCCCACCACAGCAACTTATCACCTAGCATGGGCACTGTGCCAGTGAAGCTGAAGGAGCCCAAGCAAACTCACAAGAACTAGTACCAATGAAAGGACAGCTGTTCTACTGGTACAATCACATCAGCCCAACAGCTTCCTGCTGATGCAGTTACATGGATCAGGGAGACACCTTCCTTGCCAACCCTGTTCTGCTGAAAAGGTCAGTGGCACAAGCTTTACATTAAATTCACCTGGACTTTCATTTGCTTTCTCTGTCAAGTAACCACCCTTTTTTTCTCAGACTATTGGAGTATTTAAAGCTGGTACTAGAATCATTTCAACAAATCAGATGTTGGCTCCAGAACGATGAGCTGCTGCTCAGAAAAGCACTGGTTTGAAAGCAGGAACATGAAAGGGGCACATTTCTGTATCACAGCACTGTCCTCTCACGTGCTGCTGCCCTGTTTGCAACAGGAGAACACACACGTGTTTAATAAACTGGTAGTGACTCCAAGGCTAAAAATGCTTCAAAATATCAAAGACACTTTTCCCCAAATTTTCAAATATGCTTTTCTGTTCAAATTCTCTGCCCAACAGATTTTTACCCCACTAGAAAAGATTAAGTGTTTCTGCTTCAGAAAGAGTACACAATTTCAAAAGAATGTCTCATGTTTTAATAACTCTCCCAGTTCAGTACCTTCATAAAAACACTGTACTTATGCAGATGAAACCTTTTGAAATACTGATTGTGTACTTTCTGCCCTTGAGGCTGCAGTTCTTTATGAAAACAGCAAACAGGATGAGCAGTGGGCAACTCCTGTTAGTTTATTACAGCAAATGTGCATATTTCAAATGTAATGGAGAAAATCCTGCTATGCCAATCCTAGTGGACAATCTCCTGCATTTAGCCTAACAACAGTAACACTCAATGCAATCCTTTAAATATTGGACTGAACACAGCTCTTAACATCTGAACAGCTAGGAGAACCTTTTTTAGGTTTGGTTTTTTTTATTATTTTGTTTTGCTAAAAAAGCTCTAATTCAATCTTCATAGAGGATTAAATCAAGATAGTGCCTGCCTCCATAATGCAAGCATAAATTAAACCTAAAAAGCCAGCAGAAAAACCACACACCCTGACAAATGACTTGCATGATGCTAAACAGTACACAGATGGTGTAATTCAGCATGCTCACATTTGTTTCAGTTGGAGCAAGCTTTGCCTGCACTCCTTTTGCAAAAGTAATCCAATTTCTTTTCTCTTTAAAATCACAATTAGCACAATTACACTGCTGCACAGGAATCCAATATTATTTGCAGTAGAATGTCATTAATTTCAAATCCATAGAAACAACACTTACCATGACACCTGAGAAACAGATCCCTTCAAAATACCACACGTAGTTGGGAAGCTGGTAACTGGCAGCATGTGAAGCTTTCCCATTAGGGAAGAACAACAGGATGTTAACAACAATACTCCAAAGGGCAAGAGGTATCAGAAGACAACTCAAACAGCTTCCACATGTCTCTAAAGCCATCTCTCAAGAACTATAGAAGCTTTGCTCTTCTGAGCTAACACAAGATTACAAGGTTTTAATATGAAAAGCCTTTGGACCTCCTCAGTTTGATCCAGTCATTTACTGTTCACAGGAACTGGTGACTGGGGTGTGATTCCAGAAATCAGAGCAGAACAGTTAGCACAACAACAGATGAATATCGCTGTCTAAACTCATTGTCTTTCCTAAGCGCACGTCTTTAAGTAGCAGTTTCCCTTCTAAAAGATCCTCCTTTGTGATCTTCCAAATGAAGTATGTCTAGAAGTCATACTCAGGAAGGAAATTCCCAAGTCTCATTTCCTAGTGACCACGTAGCAACGCGCTCCTCCCGAGCACACGGATTAGGAGGCAGCCTGGGACACCGCGCAGGCTGCTCAGCCTTCCTGCAGCTCAACATCTTTCTTCCTTAAACGGGGAAGGGGGCTGTCAAATGATACCCACACCCAGACTCTGTGCAGAAGGCCACACTTCGTCTCCCTGCAGAGACCAGAGCTTGGCAGACAGGGCTCTAAGGGTGAACCAACACTTGCTGCTCCCAGCCACCCTGCAGAGAGAACAGAAGCCCAAAGAACACTGGTCAGAAACTGCCAGGCAGACTTCTTATCACACTTTAATTAACTACTCTTTTCCATGGCATTATGCAGCTGAACTGTTTCATGTATTAAACCCTACTGTTTCTCCAGTTGTTTTATCCTGTGCTTACAGCTGAGTATGCACAGCCACAGACCTGACCTAAGTACACGTGACTTCTTGTACAGGACAAAAGGTCTGGCTGTTTTTTCAAACGCCTGCCGTTTTGCACTGTGCAAAGCCAAAGCCAGACAGTTTCCCCATTTTCATGTGTCATCATTCCCTAAGCAGCTAAACATCCATCCCAGTACCACAGAGCCAGAGCTACCTGTGTGCTCACAGTATGACCCAAGCCTTCTTTCCAAGCCCCTGTGAGTCATCAGAAAAGTAACTAAAAAATGAGCTTAGGGTGTATTCAATAGGAAAGTCCTAGTCAGAGAACAAAATTAATTTGGTCGCTATCAAAAGAAGGCTGATTTTAGAAACAATGATGTCATGGCATATTTTCCTTCTGTTTCCTCATGAGCTGTTTTAAGCTTTGTGCACATCAGGCTCCTCTCATATTCTCATAAAGCCGTTTGGTCCAATGTTTGGTTGGACGTTGTATCTAATTCCTTCCTGTTGCTTCAAATGAGATCACCTAAGGAACTGGTCACAGTGGCACTCATGCCATTACACCATTTTTCTGTCCATTCCGTGCCTTGACTCTCCTCTGTTTCCCTCTTCCCTTCTTTTTCTAGGAGGTTTCATTTTTAAGTCCTCAGGCTTTACTTGTACTCCCTAATCAGTACAGACACTTCTTCAGGCCTCCCTCTAAGGGAAAAAAATGTCCCTTTGCAGGCTTAGGGGCCTGGACAGACCTCATACCATCCACACTGTGTCTTAAAGACCAGAGGAAACAGCTGAATTAAAGGCAGGCACATCACACCCCCAGGGCTGATTTTTTATTACAAAACTCAGAGATCATGTAATAGGATGAAATCCTTTTTTCTAAAAGCAAAGGCCAAAATTACTAGCGAGCAGCTTAGTTTATAATCAAATTTGCTGCTTCTTCCCACAGCAATCTGTTCTGATTAGAAGAAACTTGGAAAATGACACCTGGAACAGAGATCATTCTGCAGTACAGCAGTCCACATCTTGATTTACTCTGTATTTAAGCTGAGTTCTGCAAATACCAAGTCAAGGTGTGGGGTTTTTTTGCTGTCATGCTATACTGCCAGAATAGGAAGCAAACATTTTATGCTAAGTATTAAGCAAACCTGGCAATCAGTTTCTCAAATATCTTGCCAAGTGTTGCAAGAACTGCTTGCCTGGTGCTGCCAGTGCACACGGGCGGGTGCCGAGCCCGTTACCGAAAAGCCGTGTTTACTTTGGATGAGTGAGTTCTCTGCTGACTGAAATGAATTTAACCCAAAACAACTGCTTCTCCACCATGTAAGTGATAGAACTCCCAAACCACTGTCTTATACATCAGGAAACAAATAATTCAACTGGTCTGTTTTTAAATGACAACATAAACACTAATAGTAATGCTGTGCATTAGTGCTACATGGATCTGAGCTAAACTTTTAATTCTAAACTCTAGCCTAATTATTCTGTCCATTGGAATTCCTAAAATTGATTCAGTTCTTTAATTAGCTGTGTATACCTGAAAGACAAGTAACAATTATGCAAGCATAAAGGCTAAAATCTGTAAGCTGCATGAAAACTCTACCCTATTCCACTGAGACCCTTTTCCTCCTCCTCTCAGCCCACACAATGTAAACTTGCAGGTTTTTCAGACTGTGCTTTTTCACATACAAAGACACCATGCTGCACAGCAGCAAGGAATTTTGGGCATGTTCTCCTCCCTCCCATAACAGGGTGACAGAAGGATAAACACAGCAGAAATTATATTGCCCTGCTTCCATGTACTTAAAGATTTATGTATGAATAAACAGAACAGCAAGCAGCAGATACCCCGAGACTGTAAACACAAACTCTTCACATCTGAGTTCTGCTGCTGTGAATGTGTGTGCAATTGCGTTTTCACAGTTAATGCATATTTTCAGATATGCATTTACTGCAGTCTTGGCTGTGAGGACAGTCCAAGGTACACCTCAAATTTCTGGCTACCTCTAAAGACTGCCCTCCCGTCCTGGTGACAATAGTCCCAAGCACACACTGACACCTGTGGGAAATTCTTTTTCTCCCATAAATGAAAACTGACTCACAGAAACTAACTCACTTGTTTTCAAAGGCAACATTAACTCCTACATCCCAAAACTGAGCAATAATGGTAACCAGCCTCATTTCTTTGAAATGGATTATATGTTCTATTTTGTTTTTCACCTGAAAAACACCATTGCCAGCACCATACTGACCTTGCCAGCAGTGTTGCTGGCAGCACATCATTCAGATTCACTTCATGCCACCACTGTCCTTTAAGACCAGGAAAGCAGTGTTTCAGCATGGGCAGGAAAGGAATCACTGTCACCTGCTGGGCATTCTTAATACAAATCTTTATTTGTGGAATACAGGTGAAGTTCAGAAAAATCCTGAAGAGGTGAAGTGCATGTATCTGCTCTTGATCACCCACATTTTACTGCTGCTTTGCTTTTGCTCCAGCTGAGTATTCTAGGCCAGACTAGATTTGGTCTGTGTTCATTCCAAGATCAGAACGAAAGTGCAACTTTATTGGGAAAGCAGCATAAAGTACAGACCTGTTATGTCAGTAGAAAGGGGAGGGGAATGTCAGTAGAAAGGTGCAGGGGAAGCATCTTTAGTCACAAGTGTTGAGGCAGTTGCCTGTACTAAGATTAAATTAACCAAAGAAATTTAGGGTACATTTTGCCTTCAGATACAGGTAGGTGAGTGGAAAACCCTTACGTGACTCCAACAACAAAGGCTGGCCCCAAGTGAGTTACATTGACAGTAATAGCACAGTTTGACAACAAGCAATGTGCATTTCAGTATACATGGAATGTAAAAAAACCCCACAAAATATTCAATATCCTACACGTGCACTGACGTCAATCCATTGTCAGGTTTCTAGCAAACGTATGTCTGTGGGGGGAACAAAAAGAAAGAAACACATTACAGGGAAGAATGATAATATTGTATCCAACTATAAAAGCTAAAATTAACCTGACCACATTTAGACAACCACAGCATGGCTCTTTTATCCTGCAGTTACAGCATGGAAGACAGGAGTGAGAAGACAGTATTGGGTTTGGATGACCCCAAATGTTCAACCATGTCAATTAAAAGTGTGAAGCATTTCTTAGCCATAATATGTGTGTGATATAAATTGTATCTGCTTTATATTAGGCCACTGAAATTCCAATATTACTACTATGATACTGATTAAACAACATGTTCATACTATTTAACAAGACTCTAGAGAAATTCGGAGGAAATTCAGAAACTTGGAGGGAATTCCCTTTCCTCATGCAAAAAAACCTACCTTCGAAAAACCCTTCAGATCTGCCTGCAGGTTCTGCTAGCTATGTGCAACTTAATTCCTTCTCTTACCCTACATTTCCTAAGCAAGGCCAGGATGCTGCAGTTTTCATTCCATATGGCATAATCTCAGTGGTCTATCAGCTGTTGTGAGCAAAATACATGGCTAAGGCAATAGTTAGAACAAGCAGTTTACACAGAATTGCAACACACTGCAAAAAGTTTCAGGCCATGGCAAAGACCACCACTACCACCAGAGATCTGTATTTCAGTTCTATCACTCATAAACACTGCTGATCACCACATGCGCCATCAGGGGAAAAGGAGCCTTCTGGCTCCTATGCAGACTAACTTCACTGTGACAGCTGATCAACCAGCTGAGAGAATGTGGTAAAATACTACATGAAAACCCCAAATACAATGGGGCCATAAGAAAAGCTGTACACTGAATCGTTGCTTAAGAATGCCTAAAAAACAGCTGCCGAGTAAGACTACAGAGCAGCACCAGTAACAACAGTGTTCCATGTCCATCTGAGAAGCATGGTTATAACTACAGATGGCTTACCTCCTCGTGACTGCAGCACAACCCACACAGTCCACCAAGAATGCCCTTGATTATCTGTATGAAGCACAGAATGAACTCTATTCCTCCCAAGACAAGGAGGATGGAGAAGAGGGTGACGTTCCACTGCACAATGTTGTGAGGTTCTTGACATGCAGACCACTTGTTATACTCAAACAAGTACCTGTACAGACCAATTAAAAGCATATTGACATTGTGACAGAGTGGGATGCTTACTATGCTCTAACAACCAAATTAGATTTAGTCTGTAACTGCATTGAAGATAATCACTCCAAGTGGGAAAACAAAATGCTGTGGTTTATTCCATGCAAAGTTTGCTCTGTTTAAGAACATGTTGAACTATCAACAATATATTTTTGTTAAGTCTTAACTTAATTTTTTAAAAGTCCAAGCACTATAGGAAGAATCTTCTATTGCTGATTAAAGTGAGAAAAAAGTTCAAGAAAGCTGAAAGAGCAAAGCTATTTCTCAGAACAACCCCAGGCTTTTTTAGGACTGGGCCTTTATTCTAAAGATAGCAGCCCCAGACACAGTAAAAGCATGCCAGGACCCAAACCAATTCCTCCTCCAACCTACAGGATTTCTGAAGATAAATAAGGAATAGCATACAAACCAGCCACATAGGCTGGGTTTGCTGGAGAGATCTAATTAGGGATAATTAAGAGCTTCTGGCCCTCCCCACCCTGCAGTGAACAAAGACTCTTAGGAACCTTCCCTAGTTTCCATCACCATGACTCTATGCCATTGTCACTAAGGAAGGCATTATGCCAGTTTACACTGACACAAAGCAACTTCAGAAGCAAGCCTCACAAACCAGATTCTTATACAAATTATAAGACAAATTTCATAACTACCACTATCCATAGTTCAAGGACATAAACAGTATGTGGTATATAGGTATTGTTGCCTATATATATATATTTCAGAATCCTTTTTGTAGGACAGAGGATTTATATTGTTTTTGTTTTAAGCTGTGGCAGTGCAGGGAACTGTCACCATCTGTTTAGTTCTTAGTGAATGAGAAGTGTAAACTTATGAATGGATCTTGATACAGTAGTTACTGGATATTGCTGAAAGGTACTGGAATAAAACCCAGGTCTACATGGGGGAAGATAAAACATCCTCACAAACAGACCACTTACCCTCCAGAGGATTCAGTGAAAGGATAGATCCAGTTTCTTTCCAGCTGAGTGTAGCAATATGGTCCATGAGACAAGGCCAGTGCAGAGATGATTATGCAGTAGCCAGAACCAAGGATCCCAACAAAGGCTGCCAGAACTGAGGACAGCACCTGTATAGCAAACACAGAGATGAACTTTCTACACAACCATCATCTTGTCTTCGGGATGATCAGGGGCTGGAGCTGCAGGGCTCACTTACCACACAGCTCTTCCCACAGTCCTCATGGCCAAAGCAGCCACAGCAGCCCCCGTGGTGAAGCCTGATGAACACCACAGCTGGAATCAGTACCTGGGCACAGAGCAAAACACACACACATTCCATTTTGTTGCACAGACAGGGCAGATAAAACAGTCCTTATGCTGCATTCATGTCCATTGTTTATTAGCAGAGGAGTGGGGGGCAGCCTGTACAGCTGATTCAGCTTTACTCCTGTTTAACACAGCAGGCATCTCACCACTGACACCAGTACTGCCAGCTCTGCCTATGTTCAAGCCTGTCTAGCCAGAGCAGAAAGACAAGGACTGTTTTGCCCAATTCAGGCAAACATCTCACTACAGACATCTAGCTTTTTCTACATTTCACCACCAGTTTCCAATGACAGAAATGCAAAGTAATGAAGCAGGAGCTATCTGTAAGAAACATAAACCATCCATCCTCCAGATATAAAACCAAGAAGGAGCTTAGTTGATTAAACAGAGCATCCTCCCCAGTAGCATTAATAAGACTTAATAATAGTTAGCACTTATAAAGACTCTACACCCAGAAGTAGGTCAGAAAACAAGAAAGAGTGAAGTGTCACAGAAAACTGCACTGATTCACTGAACAAGAAAATAAAATAAAAACTATCCACTTGAACACCCATATACTTGCCAGCCCTTACTCAAACCTATTGCTGAGTCCTAATGCTGCAGGTCCAGAAAAGGTTCAGGAGCAGCTCCATTGGTATCAGTTGCATTATTCTGTTTATAAAGCCCAGACTTTGCAAATCCCAGCCCAGGTTCCCATGGGCTGTAACAGAGCTGGAAGCACCTCTCACAAATGGAAGGCCTCAACATGCCATCCTTTTCAACCTGTGGTTTGCAGACACCTTGAGATCTGTAGCCTGTTTCTATGAGGACTTTAAAAAGCAAATGAAAAAGGCATCCTACAATGTGAGCACAAAATCAAAAAGGTAGAAAATAATAACTTCAGATTGACAATATCCTATAATGAACACAATTCTTCATCCTTTGCTTTTACTCAAATGCAAAGCTTTGATGACTGTCACTCCATGCCCCTGAATAAAGAGCTAAGGCAAAGAACTAACTGCCAGCATCTCAGAGAACAGAAATTAAGGAATTGTAGCTAAATGCTAGTTATCTAGGAACAGCTAAAAGAAGAAGGGGTCAATAATATAACACAAATGTATTATTTAACCTCTTACACAAACCATAAACCCCTGAGAGACTTGTTCCAGTTTTGCATGTGGATTCTGCAACCTAGACCCCATGATTTTCTCAGATCTAAAGTGACACAAAGTTGCAGATAAAATAATTGATAGTAACCAGTAATACCTATGGGGTAATGTAGCTAATTTCTTTTGATATAACTCCAGAGATTTCTGCTGATGAGATATTTGAACAATGAATTAATATAACTGGTAAAGAAACAATAATACCAAGTATCTCCAAAGCAAGTCTGAAAGAAGCAAGTAGGTCCTTACTCACCAAAAAGCCTGCCCCTAGAATGCCATGAAGGCACTCCACGTATCTGCCGAGGCGATGCTGGGAAGCGTATCTTGTTTCACCATTGGGGAAATACAGTAAAATGTTGGCCACGATGCTGAGCAAGGCAAGGATGAGCAACTGATAACCAACACATCGAGCACTCCTTCCGAAACACATGTCCTCAGCTTTCTAAGTCCTTCTCTCACTCATCCAACCCAACCTCTCTCATACCTGTTCACACCTAAAAGAAGACCAGCCTTTATCCTCCTCTCCTTAAATAGTGTTACCCACCTCCTTGGATGACGTTCACACCTGTTCATAACTACCATTCCCAATTGTAGAGTGAGGAAACAGGGATGGCAGAACAGCACCACTCTTTC